ATGTGTTTGCATCTACTTGACCAGTTAGCCTAAGTTAGAATCGAACTTCGCCGACTAGTGTAAGAATATGATCAAGTTTCATATGTAAATGACTAGCTTTCGCCCGCGACTCCATCCGCGTTGAATTAAAAAAAGTTACCTATGTTTTCTTCCAAACTATGCTCTACATCTATGCCAAATTTCATCCAGTTCTGTTCAGCCGTTTAGGCTACAAACTCCATCTATCTATTCATCTAAGCTTTCGTATTTATAACATTAGTAAGATGTTTGTGTTGTATTGTCAGTGTGTACAGCAGCCCGTCGGCCAGCCCGCGTCCGGCGCGCCACTACACGCCGTCCTTGTCGCGTAATAACAGCGATGCCTCGCACTCCTCCTGCTACTCCTACAGCTCGGAGTTCTCGCCCACGCATTCTCCTGTACAGGTATAACACGTAGTTTAACAAACAATATAAAAAATTAAGCCTAAAAGAACTTCAATAGGCTATATAGCTCGATGTATCTGTGAATAAATTATTTCATTTTTGTCCGTCATATCATCATCATCATCATCATCATCATCATCATCATCATCATCGTCATCATCATCATCATTAACAAAGCCTTTTTATCTAATTCGTTTTTAAAAGTGTCCTTTTCCCTGATCCTCACTTCTTACGTGTAAGAGAGTAATGTGTTATATACCGTTGCGGAAGTACATAATGCACTACTCGAGGTAGAGGACCTCAATACCTAACTTTGAAACTAGAAAACATACTTTGCGTTAAAACTACTCAAAATAGAGGACCTCAATAACTAACTTCGAAATTATCGAAAATCGCAACATACTTTGCGCTTAAACGATTATTATGAAGGTTATCTAACTCCACAAAGTTTGTGATCCATCCGTTTAGAATCACCCTTTATAAAACTGAGATACCCAATCATTCAGTAATGTTATTTGTGTCATATTTTTGTAATGGATTTTTTTTTTTAATATTAAATCCTTTATTATTTCACTTTAAAAATATACACATTTCATGAGAGCCTTGGCTCCTGCACTAGGTTCCCCTGTGCTGCAGGAGCCAATCCCTTTCCCCATTTGTGAAGAGCAATACATATTCATAAGTGTCTATACATAAAATACCAAGAAAAACATTAAACATCAAATTTTACTTATTATAAAAATGACAAATGAAAAAGAAAATTACATTATTAATTTACAGGATTAAATATTATTTCATTTTATTGTATTTTGCAGCAGAGCCGACAGCCGCACGTGGTGTACCGGGAGCACGAGGACGAGGACGCAGCTGAAGACCGCCTGCACCACCACCAGGGCATCAGCAGGCAGCAGCTCATCAACAGGTCAGACAGAGATAGCGAGAAAGAAAGAGAGATAGAAAGAGTAGTCAGAAAATAGACATTATATTTATATGGACATGACTGACAAAAGTTTTGCTAAAACTGCGATTGCTTGATTTATTGTAATGTACTAAGAGATCTCTTAGTGATATTTAAACGATGGTGAATGTGATAAATATTACTGAATGTTTTATTTTAACAAAAAATGACAATTTCCGAATTTTTTTTGAAAAAATCTCATTAATGCTTTATATTTTGGAAAAATAAGTGACCAAAAAGCAGCTATTCCATACCGACCAAATACAGAAAAACGTCAATACAAACATAAATCGCAGCTTAATTGACATGCATAAAAAATCATCAAATTGAGAATCTCCTTTTTTGGAATCAGTTAAAAATGTACAATTATTATTCTATATCTATACTATAGAAAATACTATTAATATTATAAAGAGAAAATATTCCTATTTTTATTTTTGTATGTATTAATATTAAAAAAACACTATTGGGCCGATTCCACAATTTCCATTACCATAAAAAAGCTGATCTGAAGCTATCCCTGAGTATCAGACTATATTTTCCATTGAACGTGTCCGAAGTGGAGTGGCTATAGTGGGTATATCAGAGCCGTGTGCGCAGCCCGTGTCCGATCTGCGGCGACAAGATCAGCGGCTTCCACTACGGCATCTTCTCGTGCGAGTCGTGCAAGGGCTTCTTCAAGCGCACGGTGCAGAACCGCAAGAACTACATGTGTCTGCGCGGCGGCAGCTGCCCCGTCTCCGTCGCCACGCGCAAGAAGTGCCCCGCCTGCCGCTTCGACAAGTGCCTCGGCTGCGGGATGAAGCTGGAAGGTAAGCAGTATTGCTATATTACGGACAGTTAAACGAGGAAAAATTAATGTTCTTTAAAAACGAGTTTTCGTCCGCAAACTTCGTTAGAGCGGAATTTAGAAAAAAAGTAAAAACATTCCTACAACTTTCAATTGCGACTAAGTTTGTTAGCGTGAAAACATATAGCCTAAAGCGTGTTGTAAGTGTAGGGCGTTTTGTTAAAGTAAATATTCTAAAACATACTGTGATTGGTGACATTCTACCTAACGAAGAAGTTTGTGTTGAGTTTTTAAAGAAATATAAATTATTATCTACGCTTGTAGTCTCATAATTATGTATTTATGATCTATACTTAATATAATAACGCGTAAACACACACTACTATGTGGCGTAGGATGTCAGCAGTCACAGCATATTTTTGAATAATTCTTTCTTTCATAAAAAGTCCTTTACTTAGGACACGCTATAGGCTATATATTTTTACCTATTAAACTTGGGGAATAAATAAATTGGAAAAGACCTCCATGTGGGAAAGGGGCCATAAACTGCAAGATGCCAACATTAAGGAAGTAAGGTTGCCGTGGTTTGTCATCATGTCATGTCATTTTCACATTTGACACATGTAAACAATAAAATAAAATTTTCATAATTTTATGCGGATGAAGTCACACGGTAACAGCTAGTATTTAACTTAATTTACTAATGACTTATTAGCAATCCGCGAGGACCGCACGCGCGGCGGACGCTCTACGTACCAGTGTTCGTACTCGCTGTCGGGCGCCGCCTCCACTGGCTCGCTGCTGTCCGCGCACGCCGCGCACGCCGCGCCCGCCATGCGACATGCCAGCAGTCTCAACATGGTAAGTTATTCAAACAGTACAAATTTGGCGAAATTGCTTGCAGCCTTGAGGGTATTTCAAGCAAGCCTATCTCTTTCTTATGGTAGCAATGCAGTTCCTCTAGTATTATGGATTCGTCGATAACTTTTCTCGTGTGGCGATTAAAGAAACATTTGAATAATTATTTTCAAAAGCTACAATCAATATTTACAAGATTACAATCTAAAAAAATGTTGATCCTTCGGACATCCTGCTCGAAGGACCAAATTTTTTTTTCTTTAATGTTAGATTTCTTACGCGTTATTTTTTTCAGGTAAACGGGCCTGGTTCTTACAGCAATCGAGGGGAAGCGAGTAACAGATTGACGCCTGAAATTCCAACATTACTGCAGGTAACATTTAAAACTTTTATTTTAGATAATAATCTTACCACTTTTCAATAATTGGTTGGATTTAAAAACTCATATTTCACATAAGTAGATATTAAAAAAAAAGTAAGTAGCCTATGTTATTTTATTCAGAATGTCGCTCTATAACTACGCTAAATTTTATTCATATCCGTTCAGCAGACTCTAACAAACATCCATCTAAACTTTCGCATTTATAATATTAGTATGATTGTTTCAAAACTGAATCATTAATAATTACAGGAGATAATGGACGTCGAGCATCTGTGGCAGTACAACGAGTCAGAGCTGAGCAGACTGGGCAAAGCGGGGGCGGGGGCAGGAAGCGGGACGGGGGCCGGCAGTGGGGCGGGAAGCGGGGCGGGGGTGGGGGCCAACCCCCTCCTGGCGGCCAGTGGTATTACACCGCACACGTCCAGCGCGGACCTGCTGGCCGACCTCTGCCATATTGCTGACCATCGGCTGTATAAAATCGTTAAATGGTGTAAAAGCCTGCCGCTATTTAAGAATATATCGGTATGTATACATAGTACGTGTGTACTTGTACGTAGTCTATATACATATATACGCATATGATATTGATATTAAAATAGTAAATTACTATAGACACCATATTAACCACCAATTGTTGCTCGCGACTTCTTCCGCGTGCAATTAAAAACATTTAGTAAAAAACATATCAAAAATTACCCGATAACGTAACTTCTTAACAGTTAAAGAATTTTTGCAATCGGTCCAGTAATATTTAACTTATTTAAATACACATAAAAGTATAAATCTGTCATCTTTACATATACCAATATTTGCCGCGAATCCGTTATTGTGAAACTAAAAAAAAATCAACAAGTAGGCTGTGTTCTTTCAGACTATCCTCTATGCTAAATTTCATCGAGATCCGTTCAGCAGTTTAGGAGGAAAACAATAAAAAACATCCATCCAAACTGGTATATTGGCACTTCAATTGAACACATTTATCGCTTTTTGTAGATTTTTTTTTAAATCTTCGCTTTTCATTATTACTCAAACATTACCTGAAAGGTTTTGAGTTTTTTTTTTTTCAATATACGTACATGTATATTTCAACAAAATGTACACGTGTTTAGATCGACGACCAGATCTGCCTGCTGATCAACAGCTGGTGCGAGCTGCTGGTGCTGTCGTGCTGCTACCGCGGCGTGGCCACGCCGGGCGAGGTGCGCGTCGGCGGCGGCCGCGGCCTCACGCTGCACCAGAGCGCCAAGTACACACTTATTAAATATATTTTAAAAGCAAAAAATCGATTAACACGTTTACTGCGGCGAGTAAAATAATTCATCATCTGGTGCTGCGGCGGGCCGAA